GCATACAAAATACAAGTGCAGTTAAATCGGATTTTCCAAAAGTCAGTGAGCAGCCTCGCTATAGATAACAAATGTTTTTTAATTCATATCAGCCTATCAAAAATGACCTAACTGTGCTCTGTGGATGCAAAGATGAGTGTCTGCAGCGAGGAGCGCTGCACATGCTTCCTGTATCTCCTCTGCAATCTTCTCTATACAAAGAGTTCACAGTCATCTTAGAATAATCCTCCTGTTTCAGTCCTTGTGGATGTGTGCGTGTGTGTGAGATTGAGTGTGTTGGAAATAGTGTAAGTGCAGGTCGGGGGTTGGGAAATTCCTTTCAAAACCCATGAGTCACTATTCCTCCTTATTAGCCCTAGTAGAAAATGCTGCTGAAAACGTGCTACATTGCCACTCCAGCGTTTACATATATAAACAGTGTGTTTGAATATGTAAACAATGAAATATTTTTGTCCTTCTTTTGGCTACGCGTTACACATTAGTGCTTTGTGAATTGCCCATGCAGTGCCTTATATTGCATGATATGTCAGACTAGCTGTCCAAAACACAAGGACTTTTCTAATATTTCTAATATTGTTACTTGGATGCACTCGCACTCACCGTTTTTATTATAGAGAAGGAAAAGACTACATGCAGAACTGATAATATTTCCCTCTCAGCCGTGTGTCCTTCTTCAGACCTACCATTGCATTCCTCCATCTGTGCCACATCTTTCATGTGGAATAGTGAGAAGATTTCTTTCCTTTTAATGGCACCATAAAGGAGACTGGTATGGATTGCATCCAGACTATTTAACCACATTCTCATTAGGCTTGCATTCTGATGTGAGTTTGCAGTGGTTATTGAGACAGGCAGCTCTGTGATGCTTTAGTTACAGTCGAGTAGGAAACCACAAACAATTATAGTTCTGTTGCTAGGTTTGGTTGCACTAGTGGTGTATCCAAACACCATTATCTGTAATATCTGCCACATAATATTCACATGTACCTGCAGGTTTGTCAATACAAATTGTGCCACCTGTTAGCCAAACAGGTGGCGCATGCAATGTAAGCAGAACATCATTAGTTGGGATCTGATCATTAGCCCTGGTGCTGGATTTAATATATGATAATAATCTTATTTATTTTGCAGATGAAAACATTTTAAATTAGTTTACTTTTATTTTAACTTCACAGTTAACATGAGTTTACTATACTAAAATAAAAGGAAGAGAAGTTATGTAAAAAATAACACTTAGCAACATGACTTGGATGGGTCTCAAGTGAAACCTTTTCAACTTTGAGGTGAGCTAAAAGTTGCAAAAAGACTACAACACCTCCCTGCAGAAGTGACCAATACAAGCTGTGCAAATCACTTTATATTTGGTTGGTGCTTAATACTTATGTTTGCTCCTGATAATTGCATGTGAAAATGCAGAGAAATCATATGTCAGATTTAGTAATTTGAGAATGTAATCACTGTTGTAAAAATGCGACATCTTCAAAAGTGCTTCTCTCTATAGCAGCTTGTTGCAGCACATTACTTGTATTTGAGTACCTACCAAGTTTCTAAATTTTCCTATTAAATCTTTCACTCAGCATGTAAAGCTGTCAGATATTCAGAGTGGTTACTGGAATGAAAGCTGATCTGTTTTACATCAGAGACAGCTGCTGATACAGTTCTATTCCCAACCCATATTTCCTACAGTGTCATGCAAGAACTGAGGTGTGCAGTTGATTAAAACTTTACCCAAGAGATTATTGAGTTGGTATACTAAGTACTTAAAAGGTCAAGTGAGCAAGAGCTTAGCTCAATAATCTTTAATTCCCACTCTGGTGGGCTTTTCTTGGCACTTTCTACACACGACAGAGAGCTCTGGTTATTTGAGTGTCACTTCAAATTAATGTCAAAAGCTTGGAAACTTATTTTTAATTTGAAATAATTACTTAGGAAATGTTTTAGAACCGTCCAAACCCCACATGAACAACAGTATGTTAAAATGAATTTCATAGCTGGTACAACATTAGTTACAGCTAAAATTTAGTTTAAAATGCCCCTTTAGTCTCATATTTTACACCCTGTTGCTTATTCAGACAGGAACAGTCACTCAGTCTGTTGCTCAAAACAAACTTCTAGCATGCTCAATCAGTTTAAAAATAGGTATAGAGGTCAACAGCCCATCAGTTAGATCTCCTTAATGCTGTAGTTTCAGGTCTAGGCAGTTAGAAAGTAAGAATGGCTGGCTTTGACCTCGTTTTTAGCTCATCTGAAGGAGAGCAAGGGGAGGAGGGAGGCAGGAGGGAAAATTAATGTCCTGATGGGCCGGCCAGCCAACAAATCTACATCACTTCCTCCTCTAACATCTGGCAGTGATCAAGGCAGGCAGAGAGAGAGAGAAAGAGAGAGAGAGGATGTATCTTACTGGCTGGCCCAGTGTTCATTTCCAGGCGTAGACAGAGGCATCACATTGCAAGACCGCCCACTCGATCTCATTCCCCCTTGGAGCAAAACAAAATGAAGATGGAAAGAGTTGTGAAAGACTTTTTCTCAGACCATCTCTGATGTCGTCATGATCTCTTCTGTTATATGAGGTTACCAATTTTTCATGGTGATAGAAAATCTATGATTGCCTGAATCTGTGAGAATAAATGAAAAAGAAGAAAACAAAAATGTTGGTTCTTCATCTTTTTCAGGATGGCGTAGCTGTGTTTTGCTGTCAGTGGTCAATCTGCAGTGAGCTACCTGGAGCAGAGGTGTGTAGTAGAGTTCACCAACATATTTCATTCAAATTATGACTTACTTTTGCATACATTCAGACTTCATGTACGTTAATAAAGAGTTCTATTTTTGAATACTGTGGTGCACTGATAAGTTAAACCTTGATCAGTGATCTCCACAGGGTATGGTAACAAACACATTTTTCATTCTTTTTTATTACAATCTGTTATTTTAAATAATACTGTTGGTACAAAACAATTCCTCCCACTGTTGTTTATATACTGTTTTTATAAAAATTATACACACATATTCGTAGATTTCATTTTTGAAATATGATGTATCAACGTTTATTTAGAGTGTAAGACTTAGGTTGATTCTAAGAAGAGGTGTTTTCTTGGGGGGAAGACTGGCTCTGGATTATGAGGAAAAATGCCAGGATTACAGCTGTAACCTTTGAATTTGAATTCTATGCAAATATTTTTTGCTGAGTGGGTAATTTGCTGTGGATTCAACCACATCTAAACTGTGGTCACAGAATAACAGATTACTTACACTTCTGCATGTTTCTTTTCAGGAGGTTTGCATGAGAGGCTGCTGCAGGGTACAAAGATGAGCGTGACCTCCTGGTTTCTGGTTAGCAGCGGTGGGACTCGCCACCGACTCCCACGGGAAATGATCTTTGTCGGCCGGGATGACTGTGAGCTCATGCTACAGGTAAAGACATTTGACATGCCTCTTTTTTTTTCACTGAAAAAAAGCCCCAATAAAACAATCGTGTTTGATTTTACTGTTTAGAGATCATTAAAACTGCTGTACACATAGATGTGACCTTACCTAGAAATTTCTCTCAGCCTTAGAAGTAAGCTGTCGAGTTCACTTCTTGTTTCATTGGACAGTGCAATAACTGTACTAAGGATTGAACAACAATAGCACACAATGCTCATGCTGCTGCTCTTAAAGTAGCAGAGGTTGATTTATATGTCTGTATGCTGATGTCGCTGCAGCTGTGCATGCATCCAGAGAGACCACGTGCATGCTCATGTGTACCTCTGGTCACTGCACTAATAATAGAAAGTGGGGCAGATACCTCTTGAGTTAGATCTTTTCTGATGTGTGTTGTTGTGGATAGAGTATTCATCCATGGCTACAGGACTCCAGTTATGACATTACATTTTTAGAGAACTTTTC